AGCCAGCTTAGCGATATATTAAAAAAAATCGTGAATTTTTCCGATGTTTTAATGTTTATTTCGGGGCGCGAATAAATCTAATAAATCAAAATTTATAAAAATCGGTCCAGCTGTTCTTGAGTTATAAATGGTGTCACTAACCCGACTTTGCTTTATACATATAGACAGAAATATCCTTAAAGTATTTTAATAAATTTTAAAGCCTAAACAGAAAAAACCTGTACAAGACTAGTTTAAAGGGAAATGAACTGCATTTAATAAGAAAAAATAGGTTTATTGTGCAGTGAATTGATGCTATTGGCTTAAAATGCCTTTATGTAGGAAGAGACCTTTATAACTACTTACAGCAATAATGTTAACCGGCGTGACCTCTAAAAGAGCTTGTTGTTAGAGTTGTTTGTATAGTTAAATGAGATGAATCATATCTATATGTATATAAACAGGCAAAGACAAAACAGTTCAGTACCTTTTTCTCCTCTGTTTGTTAACCACTTATCTTTTTTTTGTTTAATAAGTACGTTTTTAATAGATATAAATAGTTATTAGCCAGCGTTTAGCCATATAATTTTTTCCAATTCTTTTTTTCTTTAATTTTTCTGTTTTAATACTTATTATCCTATTCCGGATTAAGAGAAATTCAAAAAATCAAATATCATAAAAATGGTCCAGCCGTTCTTGACTTATAAATGGTGTGACTAACAAGACTTTGTTTTATATATTATATAGTGTTATGAATAAAAAAAAATGAAAACAGTTTTTCTTATATAAATTGGTAAAGACAAAAAAGTTCAGTATATTATTATATACTAGCGGCTCATCCTCGCTTCGCCCGGGTTCACCTCTAGAAAGACAAAAACAAATCTATCCCTCGCGAACCGTATATTTTTTCGGTATAAAAAGTAGTATATGTGTTATTCCAGACTATAATCTATCTCTGTGCCAAATTATATTTAGATCAGTTCAGCCGTTCTGGCGTAAAAAAGTAACGAACACCCATGCATACAAATTTTCACATTAATAATATTAATAATACGGATTATTTATAAATTTTCAACAATGATTATATTATTGTCGAATTTTGACCACTCGACGAACACTATTATAAATAAATATGAGTAGTACCTGGGCGACCGAGCTTCGAAGTTTTTTTTTTGTAAAATCGTGCTTTTTCGGGAAAGTTGCGTTTTTTCAGAAAAGTCACTTAAAAATTTGATTTGAATCGTTAAAACCGTTTCCGTATTACGAAATAAATTTATATATTACTAGCTAAAACTACAAAAAAAAAATCTAAAAAGGTAGTTTCATACAAACTTTCATCCCCTATTTTACCCCCTTATACGATGAACTTCGAAAAGTGCTAAAACATGTATTTATTTAATTTTATTGAAGAGTATTAATACCAAGTTTCAAATGATTCTTCATCATATATATTTTATTACTCTTGATCATAAATATTTTTTGTATTGTATTATAACGTGTTTTTCCCTGGGAATTAGATGCAAAATATACACAAAAAATCACGCTAATCCGTCACTCCGTTTCAACGTGAAAGAAGAACAAACAAACAGACAAACAAAGAAACAAACAAACACACTTTCACATTATGTACCCTCATTTAATATTCGAAGATGTAATACTACTACTTCCTGCGTAGTAACAATAAAAAATTTTTTTTTTTACATTTAGGTGATTTATTTTTATTAAATTATATAGACCTACACTATGAAGTGTAAATTTATACAAAACAAATGTACACTTAATTATTACTGTACAAGTCATGCCCGCGTGGAATTGTGGCAAGAATGCTAACCGCATTCCCTCGCTGGATGGCAATGCCGATTCTTTGGACGAAAAACAAGTCAGTTTTGTTGTGACCAGTAGAGGCGATAAGGCGAGGTGATGATACAAATACACAAATAAACATCCAATCAAATAAATTAATACTTCCTTTTTCGGGCTCCCTATTATTATAGGTACCTCTAATTCTACGTACTTTGGGGTACATTAATAGTTACTCGTATATTTAGTGTATAATAATAACAAAATATGTGTATAAATGAAAGCTCAAGTAAAAATTGTAAATTATATATAAAAAGTGTAATTGTAAACATAGCATAGTGCCAAGTTTAAATCCAAGTAGAGAAAATATTTTTTGTATACTATTACTATAGTACAGTGGTAGCCCAATGGTAACACGCTCGCTTGGGTAACCGAGTGAACTGTCGCACCTCTGATATTTAAATCTGCGAATCATTTTCAATATGATTACCACTTATTTTACGGTAAAGGAAAACATCTTCAGAAAACCTGCATGTTTGAGAGAACCTAGCAAGTATTCTAAAGACATGCGAAGTTTGCCAATCCGCACATGGCCGGCGTGGTGGACATTGACCCGATTCCCCTCGTGTTGAAGGGAGACCCATACCCAACGGTGGGACGTTAAAAAAAAAAACCGACTTCCAGGCACTAAAATGTAAAAAATAACTAAACGGGGGTTTTCATTTAGAATAGATACCTAATCAGATATTTTCGAAGTCGGTGCCAGTCGACGCATAGGAAATGTAATATATTTTGATACGTAAAATACATATTTACCTATTAGATACTCATATGTTAAAATATTGCGCTGTGTACCTGGGAAGTATACCCTTTCAAACAAAACAAAAATTTTCCAAATCGATTCAGGCGTCTTCGAGTAATCGGTGAACATATATAAAAAAAGATTCCGACGAATTGAGAACCTCCTCGTTTTTGGAAGTCGGTTAAAAAGGGCTGTATCACTATAGTAAACGAAGAGAACAGTAACTCTATTCTCTACGTGCACCTTACGAAGAAAATAAACTAAAGAATGAAGAATAAAAACGTTATTTAAACAGATTACTTCTAAGTTTCTTCCAAAAGTTTATCATTAGTTGAAACCTTCAACATTTATTACACATCTCAAGTAGAGATTGAAAATATTTTTATTCTAATATTTATTGACCTTTATATTTTGCTAATTGTATTGTATTCATCCCTTTTTTCAAAGATCCCACTGTTGTGCATAGCCCATTCTTTAATACGAAGAGGGTCAGGCCATAGTCCACTACACATGTCCTTCGAAAATTGGCTAGATTTACTCAGACGTGCAGGTTTCCTCACGATGTATTCCTTCACCGTAAGACAAGTAGCTATATCAGAGGTACTACATTTGAAATTTGAACCCGCTTCACTTGGTTTCCTAAGCAAGCGCGTTACCACTGAGCTACCACTCAACACAATGTAAAAAATAAACTTCAATAGACATAATATAATAATTTTTGGATGACTATTCTGTTTCCACTTTGATTGTCAACAACAATTAGTCTTGTTAGAGTAAAGTAGGAAAAGTAACTGATACTACGTGAATATACAGGATGCTGCTACTTTACATCCAAATTAGTCGAATTTGCGCAGTAATCTCATGAACTTGTATTACGAATATACTGTTTTTTGTTCGCTACATTTTACTCTTAAAACTTCAAGTGTTTAAAAAAATTAAAGAGTTTCAGTATATAAACTAAAGTTTCTAGTTTTAGAGGAAATAAAAAATTTAATCTCTCATTAAAAATGTAACTTTTAATACAGTGTGGAGAGGCGACCACTTTTGAGGCTATCCAAAGTGCTTTAAAGTAAAAATTTCTATACAAAGGTCGATGAAAACGCTGCAAATCAAAGTAAATATTAAGGAATTTTGGCACTTCCACGCGCATGCGGAATTTTACATAGAAGAGTAAACATAGTCACGTCAAAATGTTAGGAGAGAGCACGTGCGTGTACAATGTGAACAGTGCGGTGTTTTGAAAATGCGACTCGCAGTGTTTTTATTGAAAACTTTCTTTGGTTAGTGCTTAAATATGTAGGATTGAAGTTGTAGTAATAAGAAAATCTATGATTTATTTGCTTGACCATCAATATTTATTGTATTTCATGAAAAATTATGCATTTGTTAATGGATATTTTTATTTATATAATCTCGTTAGTACGTAAAATATAAGTTATATAGTAAATATCTTTATTAATTAATTAACAATATGATGTCACGTTCTAAAGTTATGAATACATAGAAAAATGTATCAAAGCTTCGTACTACATGCAAAAATCTTAAATGCCTAAAAGTTTTGTATTTATCCAAAAAAATGAAATGACAATGGCCTTGGATCTAACTTCAGGGTGGTACAGCTCCGCATTGCGCAGACAACATGTGTGACTAACTTCAGATCGGACCAAGCAAAACATGAGAAGTCTGTACCTATGCAGATATTTAAGTAAAAATAATTGTAAATACGTTGAAAAGTATTTGTGAAAATATTTATGTAATGTGACATTGTTTTTTTTTGACCGATTTATTGATTGGTGGTGCAAGGTTGAGGAACAAGTGTTATTTAAACGGTAAGTGTTAGTTGTGGATAAATTGAAATTATGATTATTATTATAACATTACTAAGTAATGTTACTGTATGAATTTGACATTGTTTCTAAAAATTAGTATATTTACTATTATTGCGGAAAAAGTCAAGTTAAATTATAAAAGGTGATATTTGGAGACTTGTAAATAAAGTTCAAAATTGATCCTACTTGACAGTTTAGAAATATTATCTGTATTAAAAAGTTTTTAAGCCTTCGCCAATATGGTTTATTTTTAATCTTTAATCTTATATCGTGTAAATGTAAACGTATTAATTTAATTATTTACTGTATGGTTGACAAATATTTTGCTACACCAATAATTAATAAGTTTTAGATAAAGCAATAATAATAGAAGTTTAATTGCAATTATTAAATTTAGTAAAAGTAATTGTTATTGGCATTACGTAAATATATTATTCATAACGGTGACGACATCGGACATTGACATCAATTAAAAAAATAGCGCACTTAGGGTTGCCTGCACTGCGCTCAATCGATCGTCTCACCGCGCATGCGTGCTACCCCCTCATACGTCAGTGGTGTTAGCTCGCGAGTGGAAGCTGGTCTCCACCATGCCGAAGCCTACTCCCGAAGAGGATTTGATAATACCTCCACAGGATCAAAAAATATGTGGGACAATATGTGTTTGTCAAATGACAGCCGTTCTTAGCTGCGTGGCCATTGTGTACCTTACAGTAGCTATTTACATGCCATACACACGCGCAATCGCTTCAGGAATCGACCCAACACCCATTATGTGTACAACAACAAGGGCTGTGAACAAAGATAACTGCGATTGGGGATCGTGTGGTGAATGGTGCTTGAGTAAAACTTCCGGAGCATGCATTCAGATCTATGTTAATGTACGAAAAAATGGTTCGTCCTTGCTTCTATCTGAATGTGGTAGTGCCGCAAATAAAACATGTTACGGTATCGACCAAGAAAACGCAAAGAAATACCACTGCATCCGCGATGAGTGTAGGAATTTAACAGGAACATTCAATTGCACCGAAGGAAAATGTATAAACATAACAGATGCTTTTGAATGTGCTTTCAGGGAAACAGATCCACCATTAAAATGTTCTGGAAGGAGAGGGAAAATAACTTGTATAGACGTTCACGGCTTATTTTCTTGTAGTAGAGGAACTTGTAGAAAAATAAGAACACCGTACAATTGTGATCGTCGCTGCGTTGATATTCCAACTCGTAATAAGAACGTAATAGTGCTAAGTGGGGACAGAGTTTTTCTTGCGAAATGTGCAAAATTGGCTCAGGAAGACGGAGGAAATATAGTATGGACTGATTCGGGTGAAGAAGTTCTTATGTTGTCATGTCATGCTGTTCATAATGGCTCTAATGGGGTTGTCGCTGTTGATTGTATTAATGCAGCTTTGCTTCCACGGATCGATATCGCAGATTTAACCAACTTTACATATTTACAATATTTATACACTACAAGGGCTGTGCCTAACAGATTCATAGCTCCATCTGAAGTAGAATTGACATTAGCCAATGATAGTCGACTAATGATAAATTTGGAAGGCTGTGTCAATACACTAGCAGACGAGTGCAAAGATTTCTTGAAGACATTTGGTCGTGATGGCACAGATCATAACGCTAAGGCCAGGTTCCCTTGTTTCCACACTGAAAATAATCCGGACATTGTTGTTGCTAGATTCGATTTAGACGCCACCTATCGGCAGTTTATTGTAGCTTTACTACTTCCAACAGTTTTAGTAGTAGTATCGTGTATTACATTGATGTTGTGTCAAAAGACGGTAGAAGTGGGTGATGATGCGAAGATGAGATTTAAGGCATGTGGCGGTGGACAAGCAGAGTTGCAAATGTCTCCAAACGATCCTGTATCTCCCCTCTGAGATCAGTCACGTGAGCTTTTCACTGAATATTTATTGATCTAGTTACTAACAGTAATATTCGAAATTTAACAAAAGAATTTAATTACTATATACTGCAATATGTAATAGTTAAAACTTTTGAAGATTAGGTGGAAAATTTCATAAAATGTATTTTAAAAAGATAATGCAAGTTAATTTTTCTATATTTTTTTAAATATCACTGTATTGAGTATAAAACATTTCGACTTATGTGCCCAAGAGTTAAAGCTACATTTTGACCTTGACACAAATACGTCGTGACTGAAAGGGATTTATGTCAGGCGTATTCATGACAAGCTCAACACGAATATTGAAACTATCTAATGTGTAAAACATTTTCGTCGATATTCATTTTTCATTTTACAAACTATATTAACATTACAATTCTTTAAAAATCATCAGAATTCGTTTTTGTTTTCTTATACCAGTTTGCTGCTATTATAATAAATATGATTTCACGTTATATTTAAATTGAAACTTGTTTATTTTTATACTAACACAACATTTTTTTCTTTCTTTACAGGCGTTCCCCTCCTATGCGAGGGCCCGGCTAGTTCATTAAGAGACGACTAATTGCTTCCTGTGCTGCTTATTAAAATCTCCCTAAATGTCAACTATGAGTAGATCTCGGACGAGTCTCTCGCCTGCAACATCTGAGAGATCAACTCTACCTATGGGAGCATCTGCCGAACCTGGCAGTCCAGAATTTAAGCCCCTAGAACCGACAAGGGAGCAACTGCTTGCACATTTCTTCGAGCGATTTAAATTTTACACTTCGCTCTGCCTTGGTACTTCTGCCATACTCGCTGTATTTGCATTTCTTTTTTTAATACCATTCGTCGTAGAACCTGCAATACAAACGATTTTAGCAGAGTTTGCCCCAGAAGCTGGTATATGTGCTGTGTCAGAACATGTGTACGCTCAAACACTCACTAACTGTACGTGGGCATCTTGTCGTGAAGGATGTACAACAACTCCCACGAAATGCCATAAAATCCGCGTCAATCTCGCAAGGCGGCCATTTACAGAAGATGCTCCTATTCCAAAAGAATGGGATGAAACAGATCTAAAGTTTTTGATAAACCCAGAAGGATGTGGTTACCCACCTAGAGTAAATTGTTCCGAATTTGCAATTGATTATGCTGGAAAAAAAGCTCCTAAGGTTTTTCCTTGCTACTACAGCATGACTCGACCAGAACTAGTCGTAGCGAGATATTCCTGGGATACAACTATTCGTGGTTTGGTACTGGCTTTGGTGTTACCAACAACGGTCTTCGTCTTCAGTTTAAGTGTACTCGCATACTGGCATTGCCATTGCTGTGACAGGGCTTGTAATAGACGAGTACATGCCGAATCTTTTGCGAGCAAAGAAGAGTAAGTATATTTTTGCTATATAATATTTCTAGTAGCTAGTGACTTAATATATTTTAACGAATGAAAAAGAATAAAATATTGAGACTGACATACTAATAAAATGGGCTTACAGGAAGAATATCGGTTTCAAGTTTGGTGATGGAACCTCATAGCATTGCCGTAGTTATATTGGATCTAGTAATTATTTACAAGTACGTTTTATGTTGAACACTCATACATGCAGTGTGTAACGTCCGTTTCTAGAAAGTCATTATCCAAGTTTCTGCCACAAAACCATTATTTTTTGATAGCTTTGTTTTTCATTCATTGCTTATTAGTGCATATTATTATATTACATAATGTTATAATAGGTTACTAAATACTGTTAATATAATTTTGATATTATAACGAGTTACACAACAATTTAACAATAATATAAGTGCTTGTAACATAAAAATAGAAAAACATTAACATAATGATATGAATTTTCTAAATGTTTTAGGGATCGACATATTCTTACTAAGCCATAAACAAAGATAAAATGAAAAAAAAACACTTTATCGTCAGATTTTAATAATGAACTTTTATAAAATCAATATTTACTTCTATTACAGTAGCAAATTACTATGTGAATTGGATGAAGATCCCAGCGACGACGTGTTCTGACGCCGAGCGACCACCACCGCCCGCCGGCGTGCCTCTCCTCGCTCCGAAGGCTATACGCAACTCTGAATCATCTCATTCATAACGCGGATCCATATCAGTTGGGGCTAAAATATCTAAAACAAAGCCATATATAAATTCGTCGATTGGTTTGATCGCTTTAAAAATTACATATCTGAAAAGTCATATATTTTTTATTTGAAACAATAACCTTAACTATTAAAATTTCAAATAAAGTCTTCCTTCCCCTACAGATTTAGGAATCCGCAGTAGTTTGAGCTCGTGCAATAACAAACATTGTTGTTATTTGAATGTTGCGAAACTCAAACAGTTAATGAATGCGAAGGATATTGGAACTTATTGGACTTTTAACAAGTTCAGTTCAATATGAACTTGATTTGAGAAAGAAAAATATTTAAGCCCATAAACAGTGAGAATAATTGTAATTAGTGGTTAAATATTATAATTATGCCTTCTTTGATTTTATTATGGGGAAGGACATATTACAGTATTATACAGCGATGCTTTGCGAGTTAAAAATGTGTAAAAAAATCTAAAAAATATCGTCTCTTTATTCTAAATTGGAGCTAGGCCGGGTAGGTTAAGATCATTTTATATAGCTTGCCATCTGTTATTACCTAAATGGCTAATAATAAGATATTATTTATTAAGATAAGTTAAAAGATTACATATTTATTCTATATTTAAGTGCAATTCATCGACATGAAATTAAAATGAACATTAAAAATTATTTTTCGATTTAAAAAACTCAAACTAAAACATTATTCAATAGGATCTTGTACAGTTTTTTGCATCCATTAAATTTATGAATAATTAATACATTTTTACTAACATTCTAAAAGCTCAAACGTTTACTAATTTTAGTTTTAATAGTTATTAGTTTGCATGTTTCTATCTAATCGATATGTATATTTTTTAAATATCTCCGATTGATTCTCCATTGAAGCTAAGGCATCTTAGTTATATTTTCTGCTAATAAAATAAATGTCAGTTTTCACAATGATTAATTAGGCTATATAGTTTATTTTAATATAGATAAAATAATAAGTCGAATCTATGTAGGAAATGCACAGATCTACATTCAAACCAACATGCATTATTTTTGCGGTTGTTATTGTTGAATAAAAAAATAATGTTCTTTATATATTTGATTAATATATTAATATTAAATATGATAAACTATAAAATTGGTTAGTTATCAATTAATTTAAGAATTGGGCGCTTTAAATGTTTAATTAAATTCATTTATTAAAATAGAAACGTAATGTACAATTATGATCTTGTAATTATGCCTTTACATCATCTGCCATGTTCGTGTGATATTATAGCTTAAAAGGTATTTTATGAGAAAATTAAAAAAAAATATATATATATTTTATTTTTGAGTCTCAAACGTACCCAGTAAAATATAAGCTTGTTGTAAAATTAAATATTTTATTCTTAATAATATTCTAATGTATGTGATTATTGGACTTCTTTTAAGATACTTTTAAAATACTCCAATTTTGATTATAATAGAAATATCGTGAAGTTAAAATGGCACTTCTTTCTTGTTGTAATTCTAGATGTATTTTGGTCATTTTTAAGTCCATTTTTTTATTAGTGTAATATAAATAACGACCTCTACATTTACTGCTGACATAATTCTATTCGCTGGGGAAACCCATCATGGGGACCCTGCCGGCCGTCATAACGGGCCAGGTACTGTGAGACTCCTACTCACTAAAACCCACAGCGGAACCCGTCGCCACAGTGCAATGGGGCGTTGCAGGATCGCTTCCGCACACACTACAACACCCCTGCGGACGGCCCGTACCTCGCGGGCCAACCATAACTCTATTTGCCTTAAAATATTTTAATAGACTTGTAAAGAAAAATTGTATTTATGACTAGTGACGTACCCCTGCTGCACTCGGGCGCGTCCCTAGTTAAGTTTTAAATAGATATGAATAGTTATTTCGAGTGTACGTAGGAGAAAGACTTAATATGCTATTGCAGGTTTTTCTGTAGGCCTTTTAAAACCTACCTAATATTCTAGTACATTTTTTTAATGTATCTCTTAAGGTTAGACTTGTAAATTTCTAAGAACGACTCGATAGAACCAGTTATCGTGTTTTCCAGCGGTAATGACAGATTTTCCTGTATCCTAAATGTGGACCCGAGTAATAAGTTCCAGGTCCAGTATTTTTGCGTGAAACGCGACACAAACACACAAACAGACAAAAACTCAATAACTATTGTTTTGGGGTCTACACTCTGTACGCAATACTAACGTATTGTGTCACAGTCATTGTTTTTAAAAAATATTTCAAGTACAGATTACCATAAGTTATTGTTTTATTATATGTATAGAATATAAATGCAAAGTATCGCTAGTCATATATAAAATAAAAGTTTATCAATAGTTTTTTCCATAAAGTAAAAAACTTTCATAGTATATGTAGAGGTCAATATGTTTTAGAGATAATAATTATTTCAATGTAATCCTATTTCATTAGTTGGATTATAGTTTAACACAAGAATATGTTGTATTGTATCAATGTTGATAATAATATATGTTGTATTGTATCAATGTTGTTATAAATATAAAAAATATATCGCTCATTTATTATTAAAAAAATGTAATTTCAGTCATTTCTTTGTAATTTGTAGGTATGTACTTTACTAGTATATTTATTTAATATTTAATTTAAGTTTCAGTCAAGTTTTAATTAAGTTATAATTTATTTGTATAATATTTAAATAAGTTAATGAAAATATCTTTCTTTTAACTAGCACTTATAAAATTGTGTAGGAGTAAAAAATATTGGATTATTTTTTTAAAATATTTGTATTGTATTTTTTCTGTTACTTATTGTATACCCTTTATTGGAAAGAGGGTAGAAAATTAAAAAATGAAATAGCAGGATAGAGCAGTGTAAGAGCTAGTAGACAATATGACGATACAGATTTTATATATTTTTTTTATTATTATTTTATATTACGCAAAGCTATCTATAAATAATAAATGGAGTCATACATTAACTTTATTGTGTTAAATGCAATGTTAAAAATATTGCATTATAATCACATTTATATAATACTTTCTTAGATTTACGCGAATATTTGACATTTTAAATAAAACTATCTTTTCGACCTAAAACATTCAAAACGTAGGGAACCAAAAATCAAAATAAATCCGCGAAAATATCTGTATTTTTTTAAACACGTTTGTATAATTTAAAAAGTCACAATTCTTAGGTAGAAGACTATATTTTTCACAAAAAAAGAATCGTTCACTAGCTCTTAGACTAAACTTATTTAGATCAATTTTTGTTAATCCTTTAAAATTATTTAAAGAGTTCAAACTAAAAACTGAATAAATTTCATATATCGAAATGCCTAATTATTAGATTTTTGTAAATAATAAGTAACAATATATGAAATTAATTTTATTATTCCTTGTAAATAACGTAATTTCCTTCGGTTATTCTACGGCTAGTTATTCAAGTTTCAAATTGGCATTCGAGCAACACAAAGTGTTATGACAAATAAAGCTTTTTTCATAGAGTCTGTTTTTATTACGCCATCCAATTATTTCTTTCTTTATTATTATTTTCTTTTCTTTTCAACCGACTTCAAAAAGGAGGAGGTTCTCAATTCGACTGTATTTTTTTTTGTTTTTTTTTTATTTTTTTTATGTTTGTTACCTCAGAACTTAGTCATTTATTAACCGATTTGGACAATTTTTGTTTTGTTTGAAAGGGTATACTTCCGGATTGGTCCCATTTAAATTTCAAAAAAAAAATACCACCCCTAAGGGTGGAAAAATAGCTAATGATGGATTTAACCTACTTCTAATTGTCATAATGTCTTGAAACTTTGCAAGTGTTTCTATTTCCGTTGATAGTACATTGGTTCGGTATTGTTGACCTGATCTGATGGTAAGGCCAGAAGGTGGATAGGTGGAACTCTTCAACAGCTAATAGTAGATACTTTGAGTTTGGGCTTATTTTGTTTGATTCGACAAGCCTAACACGTTAGAATTCTTACTTTGCTACTACTGTCTACACTAAAAAGGAGAAAAATAAAAACTTTTTAACAAAAAAATAAAAACCGACTTCAAACAAAAGCACTAAAAAGTAAAAAATAATTGATTGGTAGTTTTCATTTACTATACATACCTAATCAAATATTTTCGAAGTCGGTGTCGGTGTGTTATTAAGAAACATTACATATTAGAGTGTAGTATAGAAAACATAAAAAGGCGGCAAACGAACACCATGTTTTTTTCGTTGTTTAGGTGTCTAGGCCTGAAGAAATGCAATTTTATTTTATTCGACAACACGCGAGTGATATGAAAAGTGCTCTTAGTCTTGTTATTTTAAAATGCCTCCAATTAAAACCGATGCTGTTCATCGATACTTTAATTATGACAACATCGAGAAGAAGAGTAAATGTTTGATATGTGGGAATAATTTCAAGGTAAGTTACATAATTATCATATTTAAAATTTAATAATTATTTATGAATCATTTAGTATCTTCCAAAAGTTATGATTACTACTAACGTTGCACTTATTCATATGAGCGTTTTAATGAAAGAAATCCATATATTTCACTTATTTATATTAAGAATGTGTTTTTAAAAGTAAAAATGGAGCGAATTTTGATATTTTTTCCTACTTATGAATTATTTGTAATATTGTAAATTGTAGTTATAAATTCTGTAATTCAATATTTAATGAGTAAAAGTTGAGTTTTTCTCACGCTTTTCTCCGTAGAACTGCTTTTTGAGTCGGTGGTAGTAGCACACGGATAAAGTACTGACGAATGACGATTAGGTATATAAAATAATAAAATAAAGTTGATGCTACAAAATCACTGAATATAAGAAAATATGCAAGGAATATCTCGAAATTTTATAAGTGTCATCCTTGATCCTACACTATACTTATTCAGAAATACAATGAGGGCGTGTTTTTATGGTTATTGTGTATG